GTAGATTTTCGGTGTGTGTTCATTTTGGACAGCAGTTGTTGTTTGGTCTCTCCTACATATTTTTCCATCAAGGCATTTGGTGCATTTGATGAGATCTATTATATTTCTGGAGGTGCAGCTGTAGGATCCAGGAATCCTCATTATTCTGTTGTGGGGTGTAGTAATTGTTGGGGTCGTGGACATATGTTGGCAGGTGTTACATTTCTTGTCATGGCATGGTCTGGATCCACTCAGTGCGTTTTGGGTTGCAGGAAGTTTGCTTCTGGTGATGAGGTTTGTGAGGTTAGGTGCTTGTTTGAAGGCTAGGATGGGTGGTTCTGGGGAAGATCTCTTTAAGAACTGGGTCTTCTTCTAGTATGGGTTGCAATTATTTGAGGATTTTCCATATAGGTTCCAGGGAGGGGTGATATGTCATAACCAGTGGTGTGCAAGTCACGGGGGTTTTCCTTCTGTACTGCAGCAATTCTTCACATGGTATCTGGGTGGCTATTTCAAAAGTGAGATCTATCTCTGTGGAGGAGTGTCTTTGTTGAGTGAAAGCCTTTTTGAGATTTGTGCAGTGGCAATCACGGGTGTTCTCAGTCCAAATTCGGTGGTATCTGAGGGCTTGGCTGTATATTACAGCTTTCTTGGTGTGTTTCGGATGAGCACACACCAAATGCAGATGCTTCCTCAGCCTGACAAAGGGTATTTATTCCTGAAAGCTTGCAAAGAAAATTTTTTCTAACTATTTGAGTTGGTCTAATAAAAGATATCAGATTTACCCAAAGAACCTTGTCTGCCTACATCTTTAGAGCACCATGGCATGGCTATAACCTATACCCCTATACCTTAGCTAGACACTTATTAATTTTCCCTGTTCCCTTCCTGCTCTGGTGGTCCAGTGGATGATTTAGATATCTGGAATGTGACCTGATTGCTTGCTAGCTGCAGTCCACAGCTACCTTGCTGTTTTAGCTGCACTCTCTGAACAAGGCAAAAGAATTTACATCAGCAGTTGACATTCCTGTTATGGCTTTTCTTAGTGTGCCATTCTGTAGTGCAGTGACTGCAGGATGACTTTGTGAGGGAGCTGAGAAGAAACGGATTTATAATTGGAAAGTGTCAGTTATGGTCAGTTCTTTCTTTTTCCCAAAACACGATCACAGGGTGCTCTCATGAGCCATTGATCTTGATGGAGAGCTGGGAAGTCCTAGCTGCTGTGTGAGGGCCAGGAAAGAGGAGTGAGTGTTGATAGGAGCTCTTTAATTTGTAACAAGACAAATACTTAAAGATCTGTTTTTGAATTTGACTTTTCTATCATTGCTAACTTTTAAATAAGATCTAATGTTAAATAAGTTTATCTTTAATTGAAAAACAAGTTTAAATGCCTTGAAAATAAGCATTAAAGTTGCTTTTTATGGCTATACAGAGCTTTTCAGAGGAACAACCAAATGTTACAGTCCAGCATTTTGCATGAAACTGCAGTGGATATTTGCATTGCACAATTGCCGCCTTGTTAACTTAATGAAAAATATACCCTAAACTCCCCCACAAATCTGACCCCAGCTGAGCCAGAGCAGAAGGTCTTTATCCCTTTTTGTGGACCTTATTTGAGCTTGGCTTCGTCAAGCATCATCTAAGAAGCCTTTGGTGCTGGTATCCCAGCAAGTTTAGACCTGGAACTGGCAACAGCAACCTGCCAGTTGATAGAAGTTGTTCCATAAATTATAAGGTTAAGGCAGTCCATTGGTAGCTGGGTTCACACTTCCCAGGGCTCCTGGGAACTGCACACTTCTTCAGTTGCACTGGGCTAGTGGGCAGCAGCAGCTGCTTTGAGCCCATCAGTATCATGGCTCAGAAGCTATAATGCAGTTCCACTTTAGAGTATTCTACAAATTTGTTGAACCCTAGCTCAGGGGCCTGAATCCCCACCTGCTCTCTCATGTTGCCATATCTCCCTTCCCAGGGATGAAATTAAAAGCCCCCACTTAATGAAGGGCTGACATAAACCTAGGGGAGCAGATTCTTCTTTTTTTTCTTAGCTGTGGACTTACTCATAGAGAAATAGGCTGGAAGGGACTTTCAGAGGTCATCTAGTCCAGTGGTTCCCAACCTTTTTTGTACCAGGGACCATTTGTAAACAGTCTCAACCCAGTGCCCCTTGCTTTTGATCTGCTGCCTCCTACCCCCACACCCCCAGTGTGTGGGACAGGGGAAGGTCTGTTTGGGGTGGTGGGGGGTGGCAGGCTGGAACTCTACCAGCCTGCAAGGGAAAAGCCACGGTTTCCCACGTTTTTCTTCTTTAAAGGAGAATCCGTTTTTAAAGTTTGTTGATCCAGTTTTTTGTTCATGACCGTTTCATATATTTTTGTGACCGACTTTTTGGTCGCAACCCACATGTTGAGAAATGCTGATCTATTCCATCCCTCTGCCTAAGGCAGGATCAGCTTTATCCAAACTATCCCATACAACCATAATCTAAACTCTGCGTAAGACTACCATCAACCCTGCCACAACATAGACCTAACAACCTAACCTGCTGTGCGTAAAGCTGGGGAACCACAGCAACCAATGTGCTGCTTCTGTAAAATGTTGTCAATATATGCTCAAGAGGTAGAGACCCATGCTCCCTGGTACAGAAGACTGCAAGCCCCCCCACAGTCTGTACCAGTCTGACCGTGGGGTAAAATTCTGTCCTGACCCCAAATATGGTGATTTGGGCTGACCCTGAGCAGAGGCGCAAGACCTTCTGTCCAGGCATGTCCGGCTTTGGTCCCAGCAGCAACATTAGCACACTGCAGTTGAAGTCCCCAGCCTTGGCTGCAGCCAACACCCAAAGCCTCTGGGAAGGCTTAAAAGCACCGTAATGCACACAGCAGAAAAAAGGCAGGGGGAGTGGGGACAACTAACAAAGCCCAGAAACATGGAAAATACCCATGCTAGAACATGGGCAGTTATGCCTAGATCATCCCCGACTACTGGCTGTCCAGCCTCTTCTTGAATACCTCTAGTGATGGAGAGTCCAGTTTCCTTGGGCAGTTTATTCCATTGCCTCACTATTCTAAACTTCAAGAGATTCATTGGTTTTTGGGGTCTTTATGCCAGAGAGTCCTGTCCCTTGCAGTCTGGGAGATGACTCATCTCTTTGGTGATTGGTAGTTGCAAACAAGTCTTTTAGAGACTCATCTGAAGGTCCTGACAAAAACGGTCAACTTTCCTGCTTTTTAGGTGGTTAGGTTCTCAGTGATACATTCCATTATGGTTTAGTTCTGGTGAGCTTCCAAAAAATTGTCCTCCTAGGCTGTAATATTGGCTTATCTATAAGGATTGGGAACTGTAGCCTGTCTGACTAGGGCTTTGGAGTAGAACTTCTGGTTTTGGTAAAGCTATGATAGTTAATTGGTCTGCGAGTCAGTGCTGGGCTGAAGTGGCTTTGCATTACCTTATTTAGAGGCTGGTTCAGAGCTGAACACAACTGAAGGGGTTAAAGTGCCCTTATGGCAGGCTCATCTTCTGAAGTGATCTGGGAATCTTAAGGAAGCTGCATGCTGGGACCACAAATGTCACCTCTGTGCCACTTGGGGATTCTCCCTTTCAGTGAAAACATCAAAAACCCAAACCTGAGAATGAGACTCCAAATCTGTAGGGGACTTATGCTTGTGAGTAAGTCAAGTTACTAACAAAAACCACAAGGGAAAGTGGAGTGTGAACATGCTTTGCCCCATGCCACATCTGACTGCTGCTTTTAACTGTCACTATCCCACATGGTATTCTAGTTCCTGCCAAGCAAATGTCATAAGCATGGATCCAGAAGACAGCAACTGGTTTCAAGACAAACTCCTTCTGACTCTAAGAGACATTTCTGTTGGTGTGCACTTGCTTCCACTCTGCAGTATGCTGTCTGTTTCCAGTGAATGTTTTTCCATCTTTCTTAGGAGTATGAAGTGCATGAATGCCTCAAGCAACTGCTGATGTCCCTGTTGCGGGCATACAGGTTCTCTCCCATTGTCCCAGACCTAGGCTTACAGGTAAGTGACACTTCTAAGCCCCTAGAAGCAATGACTGGCCAGGATTTACTAATCCTGTTTTGACCAGGAATTATTAATCCTGTGTTTGTGTGGGTAACTCAGCTCTTTGGCCAGTTCTGAACTATGCAGTTAATTCTGCTTCTCCTGTCTCTTTAGATTCACTATCTCCGTCTCACCATTGCAGTTCTGAAGCATGAGAAATCTAGGAAATATCTGCTCAACAATGTCCTGTATCCTTTGCATTTATTCTTATCTTATGTGCCCTCTAGAATGTGCAGTTAAAATCTCCAAGACCCTGGCCAACTGCCAGCAAAACGCCTCCTTGTCTCTGTACACAATGTGATGTTTTGGGAGGCTGTTTCATGGGGTTCTGATATCTAGGGGAATAGCCAGTGCTGTTCTCAGTGGAGCCTTATTTTGAAGAAGGAAGGGTAGCCCATGGACCTTCCTGTTGGAGGGGTTTTCCTGACCTATGTTTCTGTTTAGCTTGTGCACATACAGAGTCTCTGTATCCTTTTGACTGATTTGTGGTAGAATCTGAAAGACTGTACAAGATCAATTTTCACAGCCATTGCCTGGTGCTTTGGCAGCTGGCTGGATTCCTTGGGTATCTGAGCACGTCCTGGAGATTCCATTGTTTGGAAAGAGGCTTACATGTCTGCCTTCTCTCTGGACTGTGGAATTGCTTTCCTTTCTGCTGAGGTTCTCTGTGCAGTGGAACAGTTCCCTGTCATCCTGCATGTGCTCCCAACCAAATAGTTGTGCTTGTGCCTTAACTTGGAGCAGCTTTGATGTGCTTCGTTCTGTTGTGTTCTTCTACATTAAGAGCCCCCTGCGTGTGGAAGAAGCTGGTCTGCAGGAGCTCATTCCTACCACCTGGTGGCCAAACCGCTTCACCAAAGAGGTATGAAGAAACATACCTCTAACTGCCTGACAATTCCAGATAGTGATCCATCCTGGTAGGGAAAGCTCTTACCCACTTGGAAGCTGTATGAGTTTGCTCCCCATTCAGCAGTAGCTGTGGGCTTGGGCTTGAGTCCTGAAGTGCTCTGTCTGGGCCAAATTGTTGTTGCCCTTCTGGGCATTATAAGACATTTTTATTAACCTTTCTTATTGATGCTCTCTTCCCATGTAGGGTAAGGAAAGCAAGGAGGTGAAGGAAGAGAGTGCTGAGGAGAGGCTGAGACGGCGTGCGTATGAGAGAGGTTGCCAGCGGCTCAAGAAACGCATTGAAGGTCTGAGAAGGGAAAGGGAACTCTGCTACCTAGTGGCTTAGGTGGGCAGTGGTTAAACATGTGCCCTCCAGCTTAGGGAGAAAAATCTGCGCATTGTCTTGATGTCCTGTAGCCTGCTTAAAGTCCAGCTGCACTCCCATCTGTCCTGGGCTATTCAGTGAGAGCCAGGCCCATGCAGTCCCCTGGTAGAGAGCACAAATACCTGGGGCACTGCTCTACACAGACTTGCAGCACTCCATTCTAGGGTACACAAGCAAAGCCTGAGCTCCCCTTTCGGGTCATTCCCCATTACTAATGGTAGAATTACTTTGGTCACTCCCTATTACTGCTGCCACATCAGGCCTTGTATGAAAGGGAAGACTCTGAGTGATGGGGCTAATTTTCTGACTTGTGCTAGGATCATCCCTACCATGTTGCTTGGCTGTGAAGGGCCAGTCACCCCTTTAAGTACAATGTGCAATGTTGGGCAAAAAAGCAGTGGGGGAATGGGGTGGATGCTATCCAGTGCAGTTTATCTGATGGCTGAATTATTCCTGTCTCAGTGGTGGAGGAACTCCAGGTTCAAATACTGAAGCTGCTGCTGAACAACAAAGATAGAGGAGGGGTAAGTGGAATGAAGATGTATTTTGACTGTTAGTATAAGGACTTGCAGGTATTTTATGGCAAAGCTTCCTCACCAAGGTCTCCATGAGTACTTTTCAGGAGTACAGTCTACTCCATGTAACACTGACCACATTCTGAATCCCAGTCTCTGAGATTTCAAGTTACTGAATACAGAGTTGTGTTTGATCCAGGCTGAATTTGCTTACTAAGACTTGAATCTGTGTGTTACGAGAACAGGAAGCCAGTGATCTGCATTATGTGATTCTATGGGTCACTTGCACGTCACCTTTTGGCCTCCACAGTATTAAGTAACTCGCATCTAAATACAGAGTGTGCAGCTCTTTCTGGCCTCTGAATTTCCTTTCCCTCTGGATTCTAATGAAATAATGTGCCTCCTCCAAACAGCACTATGTAGCCTCTCTAAGATTCTGGACATGTGTATAGTACAGGATGCATTAGACATGTTCTTGCACTGACCAGATGGAAGTGGTAGATCCCATCAGGGCCCTGCTGATTAACCCATATGCATTTACATGGTCTGAACCCTGGGGAGTTAATGGCACTGTCTGGAAGGTTCTTGGAGGTAATACAGGCAGTACCCCTGCTGAGATGCAGTCCCTGCTGTGTGATGTTCTAGGCATGCAGGTTAGCTGGAGAAAGTTTTAAGGCTTCTAAGAGTGAAACTTGACCTGTGATGAGAACGCTGTCCAAGGCCCACAAGTCAGTCAAACCCAGGTATACTCCAAGTTTTTAGAGGCTTTTAGGAATCTAAAGATACAGAGAGGAGCATGATGTGGTTTTCAAAAGTTCCTAGGTGCCTCTCTATCTTTAAAGAGAGGCATTTGTAGCTCTTTGTGTGATGAAGTTTAAGTCAGGTGAGCAGGAATCCAGAGGGTGGAGGGGACCAAGAGGTGGCACCTTTCAGTTTATTCCCCATGACCCAGGTAAACTCAAATCCTTCTGTTCCTCCTGGCAGGGAGAAGCCTCCAGATATATCTTTCTTAACAAGTTCCGCAAGTTCCTTCAGGAAAATGCCAGCAACCGAGGGGTAAATCATGCACCAATGCTTCAGTAACTCTTTGCTTCATGCTCTTCCAATGTGATTTCCCTGGGCCACTGATCTCCCTCTTGCCCCTCATCAAACATGGTGGTGTAACTCCCTCTTAAAAATGTACAAGATGAGACCCAATGGGTGCCAAACAAGGGCACAGCAAGTTAGAAGCAAAGGAAAATATTCTTGTTGCCCTTCTGCAACTCCTAGGAGTGCTGTCTTTGGGAACACAGCTGGTGGCAGGCTTGTGTGCACTGGAGAATGACAGCATTTAGTGCATTGGGATGGGTGTATATATAGAGAAGCCAAATATTCTAATAAGCACCCCAACTTCCTCATCCCCTTGGGTCTCTCATCTGACATCCTGCAGGGATAGAAGAGTCTATCCAAACTGAATGTCAGGGCCTTTTCTGCTCTCTCTGCTGACTTGGCAATGCTGTGTCTGTTGGCAAGAGTGGCAAGGATCTCTGCCCATATGAAAAGGTGACCATGCTGGAGCTATGTTGCCAATGTTTGTGGAGGTCTGTTAGTGTCGTGGGAAGTCTTGGGTGAGGGTTGAGCAAGCATGTTCCCAGAGAATGCTAGCTGTCTGCTTCACTTGAAACTTGGGGTTATGGTTGACTTATTGCTGCTGAAGGCTGGGTGATGCCAGGCTGGCTCAGAAGTTGATTTTGTTGTGCTAGCTGCCCATGTCTGGTGCTTGGAGGGAAAGGGATTGTATGAGAGCTCAGGCTGCTACCTTCCATTGAGGTGGATGGGTATGTGTTGGGATGGACTTGCTACACTTTGCCAGAAAAATAACATGTTAAGAAAAGTGCAAATGATAAGAGCAGGAAGAGGCCCAGCACTCCTGCTAGGAGCCATTCAGCGTTCACTGAATCTCCTTTCTTCCCTTTTCCACCCCTCCAGAATCTGACTGTGCTCTGCCCACCAGAATATATGGTATGCTTCCTACACCGGCTCATCTTGGCCTTGCGCTTCTACTGGGATGACCACAAGGCAAAGACCCCTGCAGCCTTAAACAGTGAAGGTATGGCTTTTCCATGCTGCAGCAATTAGCAGTGGAAAAAGGAATCCTCAAGGCCATAACCATGCTTGGTTAGCTACGTATGGATATAGAATTAAGTCTAGCTTTTAGAGACCAGGAGCTGCTACCCAGAAACTAACATTCTGTTCAGTAGCAATGGCCTCTTATAACCCTGCACCTGAAGTGCCTGAGTCCTTTCGTGCTTTAGACTTGTCTACATGTAGGAATAGACTGGCATGGCTCTGCTGGCCGTGTTGTTTTGCTGCTTAATTGACCAATATTCGTGTGTCTATTATGAACAGAGTCCTTTTCATCAGTTATATCTTTGTAATTATGCTAGTTAGTTCCCCTGTATAGAGAAGCTCTTGTGGGGAGAGGAGGAAAAGGGGAGAGGGAGTGTTGGTGATCTTGTCAGTGAGCTCAAAATTGTGGGGTAATAGCACAATAGTGTGCTAGCCGCTTATGCACCTTCTCTTCCTGGCTTTTCCATTCCACCACAGTACTATCCTTCACTCCCCTTTTGTTCCAGGCCTACCTCCTCCTCTGAGGTATGTCCATTGCCACCTTAAAGAAGTCCTCTCGTGCATGGCCAGTGTGTGGTGTGGTGTTTGGGATATTTTATGCACAGCCAGTGAATGGTCCACCAAGTTCATGAAATAATTGGATTGTTGAAGGAAGAGGCAGCTACGGATACATAGCTCCTGGCCAGTTGGAAACCTTGGAGCACCCCAGTCCCTTTGTTGTATTTTGGGCTATAAACAGCTTGAAGTTGAAGACTTATGATTCAGCTCATAGTAGAAGCATTCTATATTAGTAGACTTCTTAGGCACTTAATGGTTGGTCCAGGCCCCAGACCCTTGCCATACATTTTATTTTCTCTTCTCCCTCCAGAGGCATATGTTCCTCCTCAGCTTTTTTATAATGGCAAAGTGGATTACTTTGACCTTCAGCGACTTGGGGGCCTCCTGTCTCATCTCAAGAAGACCTTGAAAGGTTAGTGCTGTGCAAGATGGTTAGCTCCTCCATTGTGGGCAGGAAGCTCTGTGTTACTGCAGGTAGCCTTCAGTATAGGGCACTGGTTCCCAGTCTGTGGTATGGGTACCAGACAACCTGCCAGTGGCACACATTAACAGATTTACTATAATTATTTTATATGACAAAAATATGCTGGTAGTACTTAATATTGTATCGTTTTAAATTGGCGGTGCGCAATCTGTCAGAGTTTGGGAACTGCTGGTCTAGGTTGTAATGCAGACTGGATTGTGCGAGGAAGGAAGGACAAGAACAGTGAGCCTGCAATAGTCTGACTCTTGAACTGCCTTCTAGGCCAAAAGGAAGGGGTTGCAGTGTTAATGTAGTAGGGTATTTGCTCTGAAGATGGATAGCCACTGGAGGTCACCAGCCCTGCTGGACTGCAAGCTTGTCCTTGCTGTCTAGATGGTTCAGTTGTCCAGTTGTCTCACTGTGTCTGTATTGTGGATACCAATGTCTCTAAGAGAATAGGAGCAGGGTTACCAGGAGTTTGCTCTGCTGACAACAAGAAGATATAGGCAGGATCTTCCCTAGACTTTAGGGGAAGGTAAGTGCCTAGTGTGTGTCCTTGCTGAAGGTGCTGATTCATCATTTGGGAGTGCCTTTCCTGAATCATTCCAGTAACAGTTCCTGAAGCTCAAATGCTCCCTCTTTCTGTGTTTCTACTCTTCCTAAGGCCTCTCATCAGGTTATGATTGAGTATTGATGGGCAGAGCCCAGGGATTGGTCTCTCTCTCTTTGTGTACGGGTACTGCTGTCCGTACCACCCCTGCTGTTGATGTTGCATTTGCAGCCTACGGAGTCTGGTTTTGAGCCCTCTTAGATGCTGTTATTAAGGAAGGAATAGCTTGCCAAGAAGCCAGGGGAATGAAGAAGGATTTGAAGAAGGACATACACTCCGAAGTCTCTGCATGAATTTCGGGGGGGAGGAGGGTCTAAGAGCAGAGAGTGAGGTCTTTGGGAGCTATTCCAAAGGGTCTTAATCTGAATATGTAAGTGCTGGGACACCACTGTCCTCTGGATGGTGTCCTATAGTGAACCCTGTGTTTAGCATTAATGTCGTGGCAGATGACCTGGCAGCAAAGGCCAATATCTTGATTGATCCTGCGGAGCTGCAGGCTGTAACTATGGATGATCTTGATGAAGATGAAGAATCAGCAGTGTCAATGATGCAGGTGAGCCTTATCTTGAAGTTGTCCAATGCACCAGTAGGCCTGGGTAGGCATGAGAATAGGGGTAGTGAACTCGGCCTCTGGCTCGTGAAGTAACCTTGCACTGGTAAAGTGACAGACCTGGGCTGGATCCAGTGCTGTTTGGACCAGTCAGATACATGGCAGTCTGAAACAGCATGGCAAGGTAACATGTTTCTACAAGTTCTAAGCCTCCTTGTTGGGACCAGCTGGTTGTTGTTAAATTAGAGAGGGATGCTTCTTTTCTCTGCCTTCTACCCATTTTCCCCAGATCCGAGTAAGTTTCCCCTCTCCCCATGGTGAGGCCAGCTCCTGGTGCCTTCATCTAAAGTGTAGCTCTCATCAAAAAAATAACTGCGGATATGATCCATACTTACTGTACAGCTCTGCTTCCTTTGCCTGCTTCTTTTTAGCTGAAGTTTTTAGCTGAGGTTGCTTCCTTTTAGCAGTGAGAACAAATATTTGTTTCTCTCTGTGCTTCACAGATGGGTCTGTATTACATTAGCCCTTGCAGAGCTGGTCCAGCCATAAGGACAGTGAGAGGGCATCTCTTAGTCCTTACCTGTCCTACACAACTTTATAAAATTCACAACAACTGCCCCTCTGTATCTGCAGCGGAGTCAGCTGAATGTATTGGGCTTTTCCTGTAACAAGTGGGGAAGATAAGGAGAAAAGGCGGCACTGAATTAATGGATAACCCAGTAAATAGACCCACTTACCTCCCTGACTTTTCAGTCTCAGCGCCCAGCTGCTGCGCTGGCCGTCGGGGGTGCCCTGGCGAGGCCCAGCTGGCTCAGCTCACCCACACTGGGTCGTGCCAACCGCTTCCTCAGTACAGCAGCTGTCAGCCTTATGAATCCACGGCGGCCCCTGGGCTCTCTGGAGAAGATTAAAGTCCGTACACTGAGTGTAGAGCAGAGAACGGAGGATGATAGTGAGTATTTCCTTACTGTGTGCTTGCCGAGGCTGGCATGTAATGAGTGGGAGGTGGGGAAGGGCCAGGTGGTACAGATTCAGGGAAAGCTCAGGAACTAATTGTCCTTTCCACTTCCTCTTCAAGCAGAGTGCAGACAGCCCGAATTTTTGTTCTTCCAGTTGAACCCCTGTCGGTTAGTAGATTTGTACCCACCCCAAAGCCAGCATGTGGACTGAAAGCCTGGAATAAACACTGACAGTGACTTGAGGGATAGTGCTGTCTGCAAGAGCAGCAAAGGCTGTGTGCTTGCTGAGGTTACATTTCATATTGATACAGGCACCCCAGACTGGTAAAATCCAGGAGTAACTGCAGTTGCTTTTTCCTTAAACATAAAGTCAGTAGTGGGGTCCTTTGGGGACCTGTCCTGGACCCAGTTTTGTTCAACATTTTCATAAAGACCCAGAGAAGAGATTGCACAGTGAAATCTCAAAGTTTGTAGGCAATATTAAATTATTCCAGGTAGGCACATGTCAAGCTGGTAACAAGGAGCTGCAGAAAAATCTCCCAAAGCCAAGTCAGTGAGGAAAAAAGTGGCAGCCAATGGGGAAAAGTAACTTCAACTATATCATATGTGTACAGTGCTGGGTGCTAAGCCCTTTCTTATGACTCAGGAAAGGGACCTGGGAGTCATTGTAGGCAGTTTTCCAAAAAAACCCCAAACAGTGGTTCTGTGCTCAGTGTTGATAAAAAGGAAAAAAAAATATAAAAGCTAATAAAATGTTGGGCACCATTAAGGGAATTGAAAACATCATGATAGTACTACATAAATACCTGGTGTGGTCATATTTTGAATACTGTGCACAATTCTGGTCTCCACATGTCCAGAAGGATACAGTGGAATTAGAAAAGGTACAGAGAAGGGCAACCAATATGATCATGGGGATGGAGCCAGCTACTAATACCACAAGAAACTGGAAAAGTTAGGGGTCTTTAATTTGCAAAGGAGAAGGGAGTGGGGGAGAATGTAGTAGTGGTCTATAAAAATTATGAAGTGGGGGTGGGGAATAGAGTGAACAGGGAACTTATTCACTGAGTCCCAGAATAAAAGGGTGGGGGCTATAACAGGATCTGTCTCTAAACAGCAGCTGTGGCACTCTCTGGCAGCCAGCCCTATTAATCCTGCTTCTCACTTCCGCTCCCACCAAGGTACCTTTCTGTTCTTGTCTGCCACAGCTTTGATGGCAAATAAGATGTAAATTTGGGAGGCTGCTCTTAGAATACGTGTGTAGATGTCTTATTCCGGGCTGCCTCATTCTGGCTTGAATATTTTAAACTTTGATTATCAGCAAGTTCTCTCTCCTCAAAATGGCTTTAGCACATTCTCTCTCACTGAACAGGCAGTCTCTATCTCTAGCCTGAGCCTGTTTGTTCAGTCTCTTGGGCAGGCTCGGTCTCTAGCCCTTTCCCTCCCCCTCTCACACTGCCTTCCCCAGGTACCCACCGTGTCATTCTTCCTCCATCTCAGCCCTCAGAGCTGCTTCTACTGTGATGCTTATTACAGAACTCCTTTTCACTCCAGGCTGTGCGCCATTCTGAGGCTCCCTCCCAGAGGCCAGGCTTACATGGCTCTGTGCTGCACCCTTTTATGATCATCTGACCTATAACTGTCACCTGGGCACAAGGGTTTTCCATTTCACTAGTTAGCAGGCTTATTACTTTGGAGCCTGCCTCTGCGGCCTGCACTTGCAGACTACCTCTTTGCAAGCAGGCTTACAGCTTTACAGTCAGCTTCTGTCTCTAGTAACAGGGGTACCCACTGAACTTAATAGGAAACTGTTATAAACTAAATAACAATTACATTTTGTACACAGCACATATTTATCTTGTTGAACTTGTTACCACAGGAAATTGTAAAGGCAGATAGCAACAACCAAGTTAAGAAAGGGGTTAAACAAATTAATGGAGGACAGGTCCATTGGAAGCTATTAATTAGAACAGTCAGGTCAGTGGTTATCACCTGTCATCCCTTAACTAAGGATGTTGGATGCCAGAGAGGGTGTGATAGGGAAATCACTGTAGATATGCTTTCCCTCTAAAGCAGCAGTGCTCAGGAGCTGAGTGATAACTGCTGAACTGATCATCATTTAGTGAGATCAGTCATGTCCATCGGGGTTGCACTGAAACATCAGAAGCAATCTGAATCATAGAAAATTAGAGTCGGAAAGGACCTCAGGAGGTCATCTAGTCCAATCCCCTGCTCAATGTACAATCATTCCTGACTACATCATTCTAGCCAGGGCTTTGTTGAGCTGGCCTTAAGAACCTCCAAGGATGGAGATTCCACCACCTCTCTAGGTAACCTGTTCCAGTGCTTCACCACCCTCATAGTGAGAGAGTTTTTCCTAATATTCAACATATACTTCCCTTGCCACCACTTGAGGCCATTGTTCCTTGTTCTGTCATCTGCCACCACTGAGAACAGTCTAGCTCCATCCTCTTTGGAACCACCCTTCAGGTAGTTAAAGGCTGCTGTCAAATCCCCCCTCTTCTCTTCTGCAGACTAAATATACCACATTCCTTCAGCCTCACCTCGTAAGTCATGTGCCTTGGTCCAATAACCATTTTCATTGCCCTTCACTAAACTCTCTCCAACTTGTCCACATCCTTTCTGTAGTTTGGGGGGGGATGGGAAAAGTCCCTCAGGATCCTAAACTCTATCATCCTGTGACCACTGTTGCCCAAATTGCCATCCACTTCTACATCTCCCACCAATTCTTCCCTGTTTGTGAGCAGCAGGTCAAAGAGAGCGTGGCCCCTAGTTGGTCTCTCCAGCACTTGCACCAAGCAGTTGTCCTCAGTGCTCTCCAAAAACGTATTGGATTGCCTGTGCACTGCTGTATTGCCCATGGAGCAGATGTCAAGGTGATTGACGTCCTCTTTGAGAACCATGGCCTGTGCTCTGGAAACTTCCGCAAGTCATCTGAAGAAAGCCTCATCTATCTCATCCTCATGGTCTGATGGTCTATAGTAGACACCCACCATGACATCTCTCCTTGTTGTTTTCCTTCCCTCTAACCTTAACCCAGAGATTTTCAACAGCCCTCTGTCAAATTTCATACTTGAGCTCTGAGCCATCATACAATTCTTTTATGTACAGTGCAACTCCTCCTCCTCTTCTCCCCTGCCTGTCCTTCCTGAACAGTTTATATCCATCCATGACAGTAGTCCAGTCATGCAAGCTGTCCCAGCAAATCACGTCGTAGTTCCTGGACTGTGTGAGGACTTACAATTCCTCCTGCTGGTTTCCCAGTCTCTGTGTGTTCATGTACAGATAGCTGAGGTAACTGGCCAATTGCCCTACTTTCTTGGGAATAATGAGAAGGAAGCCTCCCCTGTTGCCCCCTCTTCCTTGTGCTTCTTCCAGGTCTCTTGCTTCCCCACTTACCTCAGGGCTTTGGTCTCCATCCCTTGGCAAACCTAGTTTAAAACCCTCCTCATTAGGTTAATGAGCCTTTCTGCAAAGATGCTCTTCCCTCTCCATCAGGTGGATCTCGTCTCTTCCTAGCAATCCTCCTTCTTGGAAGGACATCTGGTAGTCGAAGAAGCCAAATCCCTGTCAGTGACACTACCTGCACAGTCATGCATTGATCTTCAGGATTGTCCAGTCCTGCCTGGGCCCTTCTGGACCAAAAGGATCAAAGAAAACAACACCTGTGCCCCGGTCTCCTTCACTCTTGCACCCAGAGCCCTGGAGTCACTCTTGCTCTGGCAGTATCATTGTTGCCCACATTCACGAGCAGCGTGGGGTAGTAGTCAGAGGGTTGGATGAGTCTCAGTAATTCCTCCATGACATCTCGGCTCCAGGCAAGCAACGGACCTCCCAGGAAAACAGGTCAGGCCAAAGACAGTACAACATCAAATGCCTTCAGACCCATTGACACCACAAAGCCCTCCAAATGCTTCTCAGTAAGAAACTTGCCAATCTTGGGATTAAAAATGATAACACTTGTGTTGAGAAAGATTGATGAACTCTAAGAGAGACCATCCATGAGGTTTACATGGAATCAGTAGCCTTATCACCTAAGGCCATCAAGACTGATTTGGCAAAAATAGTTCTGAGATCATCAACACTTTTCCCCCTCAGAAGAGAGAAGCTTTGTGTGACTGACAAAATCATGGTAGGTTCAGTCAGAAGCAGGGAACTTTTTGACAGCTTCAAGCTGAAGCCCAGAGGAAGATTTGAGAAATCAAAAATAAATGGGAATACAAGACAAATAAATCGAATAATTTATTATGTAAAACTCTTGGTTCAGAGATGATACTTTTATTAGACCAACTGAAAAATTGCAAAAAAAAATGCATTGAAAAATTATCTCTGAACCAAGAGTTCTAGAGTTTTGCATTTCTTTTTGTTGATAGCCAACATGGCTACCAAATACATCCCTGAAATATGGAAGATGCCTAATCTTAGCCTATTTGGGAATTATAAGCTTCACTACTAAACAACAAAGAGAGATTTCTACACCTCCCTGCCTTTCTGCCATCTGACACCACCAGGGAAGGAATCTTGCCTTATATGCACAATCAAAGAGCACCTCACACAAAGGAACTCTCATGGACCTAGAGGAACAGAGATCCATCTTCAGCTTTCTCTGTGCAAAATGAAGTTAATTTTTCTACCTATGAGGACTTGTACCATCTCTAATTGTCCCTAAGCCTGAGGAAGAGTACATGGGTCCAAAAGCTTGCAAAGAAAGATAATTTTTTGTGATTTCTTAGTTGGTCTAATAAAAGGTATTATCTCTGAACCAAGAGTTTTAGAGTTCTGCGTTTCTTTTTGTCTCGGATCAACATGGCTACCAAATATATCCCTATAATTTGTTGACAGTAATGACACAAGGAGCTTCTTCAGTGCAATCAAGGCTGTGTATGGACCAAGTTCTTGCGGACTCAGCTCACTTAGAGCTGAAGACAGCAGGACGCTCCATGAAGGGAAGCACTTGCCAGTCCACCTACCTCTAAAGAAGTCCACCAGGCGATTAAGACAGATGAAGAACAACAAAGCATCTGGCTGTGATGGTATACCAGCTGAGGGATTTAGAGTTGGAGGGGAAACTATAACCAACAAGCTCCACACAGTTTCTTAAAAACTGGAACATTGAGGAAATTCCCACTGACCTAAGGAATGTCAATATAGTAACAATTTTTAAAAAGGGAGATAATGACTGGAAACTATCGAGGTATTGCCCTCCTCTCCATTGCTGGAAAGATCCTTGGTTGAATTCTGCTGAACCAACTGCTCGCTATTGCCAAGGAAATCCTTCCCGAGTTTCAGTGTAGCTTCAGACCATTGAGAGGCACCATGGCCACAATTTTTGCATCCTGGCAGGTTCAGGAAAAATGCCAAGAGGAACACCCAGAACTGTATGCAGCTTTTATCAATTTTACGAAAGTCTCCAACTCTGTTAACGATGAGGCTCAGTGGAAGATCTTATCGAAGTTTGTCTGCTCAGGAGAATTTATCACCATCCTAAGAATCCTTTGTGGCCAGATGACTGCCTCCATCCTATGTAATGGCTCTCCTATGGAGCCATTTGCCATTCAAACTAGCATCAAGCAGGGCACTGCATGATTGCACCAATTCTCTGTTCCTTCTTGTGGTCATCAAGGTGCTCATCTGTGACTGTCTGCCATATGGCATCAGCATCGAGTACAGGATAGATGGGAATCTTTTCCATCTCTCCTGCTTCCATGGCAAAACCAGTTACTTCAGTCTCTGTTGTGGAACTTCAGTATGCCAATGATTGTTCTGTACTTGCACATACTGAGGAGGATCTACAAGTGGACCTTAACTGCTTCTCTCAAGTATACCAGTGCCTGGGACTTACCTTTAACTTTGGGGAAGAAAGGGTGTTTCACCAGCCTACTCCAGGTCCATCAATTCTTCGGGCGAAGATCCTTTTTGATGGACAGGAGCTGGAGAATGTTGAACATTTTGCATATCTTGGCAGCCATCTATTAAAGAAGGGCAACATCAACAAGGAGATCCAGCATAGGATCTGATGTGCCAGCTCTGCCTTCGGAAGACTGTATCAATGTGTGTTCAACAATCATGACATCAGGACTTGAACAAAGCTCCTATTATACAAGGCTGTGGTAATCCCAACTCTTCTCTAGGGCTGTGAAGTTTGGGTGACTTATATGGACCACCTGAAAAGCCTGTAACACTTTCACCAGTGCTACCTGCAAAAGATCCTCAGCATAAAATGGGAAGATTGTTGCACAGATGCCAGTGTCCTCACTGACAGTAACACCACGAGTGTGGAAGCATTGATTATTCAGTATCAACTGCAGTGGATAGGACATTGTGTGCGCATGCCGAAACTGCATTTACCAAAACTGGTATACTCTCAACTCAGCCAAGGACAAAGGACATGCAGGGGCCAGAGGAAATGTTTCAAGGACATTTTCTAGGCAAACATTAATAAGTGTGGTATTGTCATCACAAATTGGGAAAAACTAACCTGGGACAGGGCTGCATGGCAACACCTTGTGAGAGAAGGTACATCTTACTTTAAGGAAAACTGTCTTGTCTTGGAGGCAGAAAAACTACAGAAACAAAAGGAAAGGAAAATGACTGAGAAATCCATGGTCCAACCTTCCCTGTAACCACCATCTGTGGTGTCTGCCAGAGAGTCTGTGGCTCTAGGTTTGTCCTTCTTAGTCAGCAGTGGACTCTCATCTACTGCCCTTTACTAGGGGTTCACTGATAAAGATTTTTTGGGTCGATACTCATGGCTGATTATTAACGAGCCATATTGGCCGATACCAATCCCAATGCCGATATGCAGCCTGGGAGCTTGGAGAGCAGTGTCTGGCTCATAAGTCTGTTGGGGGGAAGGAGTGGGGGGAGGCAGATTGAGGCCCCCACCATGAAGGAGGGGGGCTGTGGCTGGGATAGGCATGGTCCAGCTGGGACAGGATTGGGCACGGGACAGAACCACAAGCCGCTTGTCCGGAGGCTGTGGGGAGGGAGGAGTGGCTCCCTCCACTGTGCACACCCCTGGGGCAGGCATGGGGGCCATGTGCCCCCCCAGATCTGTGTGCAGGGTCATGGCAGGCTGCTGCTGCGGGCTTGGGCTGGGGGGTGGTGCCAGGCACTTCTCAGCAGGGGCGCTGGGCTGGGGCTGCAGGCAGCAGTGACATTGGGAGGGGGGCTATGGGGGCCCACCCTATATCCCCAGTCCTAGAGTCGCCTCTGCTTGCGCTGAGCGCAGCCCGACCCCACAGTGGCAGCCTTTGTCCCGTGCGCAGATCTAGGAGGCACACATCCCTTATGCCTGCCCCAGGGGTGTGCACAGCAATGGGAGCTGCTCTCTGCTCCTTCCCCATGGTCTTCGGACGAGCGGCTCATGACTAGGTCCCATGCCATGCCTTGGCTGGGCAGCGCGTGTCCCTGCCCTAGCCCCACTCCCTCCCTCACTGTGAGGGCCTCAATCTGCCCCACCCTAGGCCCCTTCCCTCCACTCTGCCCCTCCACCCCGACAGACTTACCAGCCGAATGCTGCTCTCCAAGCTGCCAGGCTGGCTGTGCAATTGCTGTGGCTGCATGCATGCATGCAGCATTTATCTGTGACATTATTGACCTCATGAGCCAAAGAAGGCCAATTGCTGATAATGTTGAATTTCCTTTTATTAATGCCGATACAATATAGACTGATATATCGGTGCACTTCTACCCTTTATGTCACCCGTGGGAGTGATCGTCCTTGATCAGGAGGGATTGTGGACGATGATGTGCCTGGATTAGCCTTGCACCACCATCCTAGCCCTGCACTGCCAGTTGAGTGTGCAGGGCCATGCTTTTCAGCTTGTGGGATTCCCCACAGGTCTGGAAATTTGGCAGCAGGGGAGTGGCTACCACTGACCCTCTGCCAAATTTTTGGACATGTGGGGAAACTTGCTGGGCAAAATGACACAGCTCTATGGGTCCGATGTGGCCCATGGCATGGGGGTTGAACACCCATGTTCCAAAGCATCTACTACATGTTGCCAGTCAGTGATAAGATACTGGGCTAGAAGGACTGTTGGTATGGCTCAGCATGGCAATGCTTGTTCTTATAAACACATCCAGTTTGATGACTGAAAGCTATGGTGTTGATCCTGTTGCCAGAGTAGATGATAGATGCTGCAGGGTGACCTCGAAAAAAGCCAGGCTCTGGGTCATTCAGAGAGAGCTTACATTCCAGGTGATATGGCCCAAGTCCAGTTGGTGTTCAGAGGCTGACCATCAGTACCTGACTACAGATCTAGGGGCCTATTTCCAGATCTTGCCCAAATTTGATAGTTTGAATATATAGGAGGCTGCTGGGTTCGCTCATTTATGTGGTATGAATACCTCTGCTCCCCCTAGCTGCAATGGGGAAGTATGGAGGCTTGCATCCCTCTTATCAGTCTATATTTTCCCAAAAAACTAAGTGAACACTTCTCACTAAGCCTGTGGAAGACGTGAGGCTGCACATAAAGCAGAACTGCAGCTACTAATCAGCTGATGCACTGTGCTGTCAGTTCCTTGTGTGAGGTAGCAAGCCTTGTGAATTGTGTGGGTAAGGAAGGAGAGTTGTGCTGTGGAGTTGTCTCCCAAGGGAGAGTACAGGGAGGCTGTGGGCAGTTGCTTTTCTGAGTTATGCCTGGGGATTGTGCTGTTAGCTATGCCACGTTGAGAATCTTTTTGTCTTGGGGGATGGGTTACAGTTGAAGGCAGCCATGGAAATGAAGGTCTGTTACTGGGCAGACCCCCTGAGGAGCCAGAGAACCCTGTCACTGAGAACTCCCTTCTGGAAATTCTGGATGGAATAGTGATGATGTATAACCTCAGTGTCCACCAGCAGCTTGGTAAGGTGAGCAGAACTTATCTGAGGAGAGCTCAGTCCTCCTCCTGTCCTGTTAGCTGGTAAAAGGCAGCCTCCTTACAGCCAACCTGGGCAAGAACTGACCTCTGGCTGAGCTACAGTTCTGTTTCTCTCGTCACTGGATTGGTCACAGCATAAAGGCCCTGGCAGGAGTGACTGGAAGGGATCGCTTCAGTGCTTAACATATGTCTCCAGCATAGACTATATGCTGACTATATATAGCATTAGACTATAGATCCTGTACCAAACATATCTGTCACACTTGGGTGTGGCTTGTGGTTGCTTTGACAGCCATGATGTATTGTCACTTACCAAGCAGCTCTGGCTGGACAGACTTGCTGGAGGCAGCCTCTAGTATCTGCAGTAAGAGCTAATCATGGAAGCTTTCTATCTGGTGTCTGAGCAGCCCCACCAAAGGGTGCAGAGTACTGATACTCCACTGTTGGTTTGGGCAATGCCATTTCCTTGTGATCTGCGTGCTGAACATTTGGCTCTCTCTAAGGTGCCTGGAAGTGCCCTAGGCTGATACTACTCTGCTGGGCTTGTGTTTTCAGATGGTGGGTGTGTCAGATGATGTGAATGAATATGCTATGGCACTGAAAGACACGGAGGAGAAGATCAGTCGCTGTCCAAAGAGGGTGAGTGCTCCTGGAGCTTCCTTTTTGGAACTCTTCAATTAAAGTGAAAGTCTTTGCTGCCTGTATGAGGAGTAGCCAGTAGTGCCTCTTGCCTCCTTATCTGTTAGCAAAGCAAGCTGGGGAGTGACCTTTGCATACTGCAGCTGGTCATTGCTTTTATGCTTTTGCTCATCTCACAGAAACACTTGGTCTGATTTTGCTGTCCCTGTGGAGCTTCCCTATTTCTTTGGTATTTGAGGATAAGGTGCTTCAGGCTTTAGTGGAAGGGCAGCTGGCTGGTGTGTCTTGTAGGACCCAATCAGGAAACACTCCCAATGAGTGCTGAGCTTATGTCTCCTTTTGTCTGCTACTGCACTTGGAGACTTAACTTTTTCAGATGAAACCCTCAAAGAGCTTCCTCTGACGGTAGGTGACCCCAAAACATCTGGACACCAAGGTGTTAGTATCCAGCCATCCATGGGTTGGATTGGTGGTTTGTGCTGTTGAGGGCAGTAACTGCATCCTCCCTAACTGTCCTGTTTCTAGCTCCCGTTCCACCCTGCAGAGCAGCTCTATTTGGCAAGGCCAGTAGCTGGTCCTATTAGCTCTTTCCTAGCTAGAGAGAGCAGACATAGAGGGGGGAACCTTTTCTGTACTGTTCATCCAGCTCAAAAAAGTGATGGTACAAATGGGGAAAGTACATCTTCTGCTCCTCACCTCCTCTGCTGTCCTTTCAGAGGAGGGATATCCATGAAGAGCTGCTGAAAAGTCAAAAGGTTTTCTCAGAGAAACTGAACCACCTGAGCCGTCGCCTAGCCTGGATCAACGTCACCATCTATTCCAAGGTAAGAAAGGAGTGTGATGGCAACAGCTACAGGATGACTATAAATGTCAGACCAGCTACATTAGGAGCCTTTTCCCTGTAGGTGGGATTGCTGCTTGGCTATCTTGCCACAAATGTCAACTCCATTGTGAAGTAGGCTTCTCTGTAGAACAGTCTCAGTTGCATCAAGGCATTTTCTTCCCTACGGCTAGTCAGAAGAGAGCAGGGGAAACCTTCCTGTCCCGGGGTGTGTTTGTTAATAATTCAGTCATAACACAGACCAGTTCTTTGTCCTGGCCTGGATACACAGTGTTGTGAGTCCTTCCCAGAAGCATCAGCTATAAGATCCAAAGAAAATGGAGGGGATGAAACACTGTTCGAGGCTAGCTGGCTCAAGGCTGTTTATCAGATCTCCTTGTGGGATGTGTATGCAGGAGAAAGGAGAACTGTTAAGAGTTTCCTGATATTTTCTCCATCTGCCTGCCACTGTGCCCCACTCTACAACACAAGGGCATGCATGCTAAGGCTACCATTCCAGACATCCTGAGATGCTTCCAGATGAGAAGTTTGACTGTTTTATCACCTCATGTCCTCCCTGTTCTCCCTTTTCAGCTGGGTTTCTCCTTCAGTGAAGGTTTCAGAGCAATTGAACCACCCGCAGTCCCCAGAATTCAAGACGAATAGCCTCAAGTCAGAGTCTGCTTTCAAGCACTCTGTAGGGGAAACAATTGGGGGAAAAACAGACACAACAGCAATCAAAGACTGACCAGATGACCCAGCAATCTAAAAGGCAGGCTCAGGTGGTTCAGTTTCTCTGAGAAACCGGACCACCTGATATAGCCAATTAGCAGCGACCTAGATTCTGTTCATGCAGATGTTCTCTTCTGTATTTTGACAAACCTAGTAGCAGCACAGCACTGATTGCTGTTGTTCCCCTACCTTACCTGTGGCAAGTTAAGATGTGTGACAGGGTAGCCTGTGTAGTTTTAGTAATAGGTTAGGCAAGAATTTGCTTGTGATGGTTGAATAATGGTGATCCTGCTTTAAGTGGGTAGTTGGACTAGGTGACCTCCAGAGGTGCCTTCCAGACGTACTTTTCCACGATTCTGTGCTTCTGCCTCCCTCACCTCACCTCACCCATCTGCCATCTGGGCGTCAAAGATAGGAGCAACTCAGTAGTGGGACTATGTTAAGGAGCTTTTGCTGGGAGCTAGTGATCTGAAGACCAGAAATTCTGGGTGTGTGGTTTGTCCTGTCTGTTTGACTTGTGACTGCTTGACAGTGTTTGTGTTTGCAGCTTTGTGGAGTGCTTCGCTTCAAGTGGGGCTGGTTTAATTAATTGAGGGGTGGGGACAGGAAGGCAGAGCCTAGGCAGCCTTGTAAAAGGCTCCTGCCTCTGGATAAAGGGAAGTAGCTAGATGCCACCCCTAAAAAGAGATGCAGGGTGGTCATGGTGGGTGGCTTCCTCCTGAGAGGGACAGAGAGAGTGATCTGCCACCCTGACCCTCTGGCCCATGAGGTCTGCTGCCTCCCAGGGGCCCATATCCGGGATGTGGCAGAGAGCATTCCTAAATTCATCTGGCCCTCTGACTACTCCCTCATGCTCCTCATCCATATGGGCACAAATTACATGGCTCAGAGCAATCCTGGCCAGGTCATGAGTGACTACAAGGCTCTGGAGGCTGGGGTTACAGGGTTGGGGGTGCAGGTAGTTTTCTCTTCTGTCCTCCTGGTTACAGGCCTAGGAGGGATGGATGTATCCCAAAGTCTCTGGCAATGGTGCTGCCAAGAGGGTTTTGGCTTTCTTGACCACAGCACGCACCTCAGAGAGAGAGGTCTTCTGGGAAGGGACAGTATCCACCTCATGCAGAAGGGGAAGGCTTTTTCTCAGCCAGGATGGCGGACCTCCTGGACAGGGCTTTAAACTGACATTGCTAAGAGATGGGGGAGACAACAAGTGGAGCAAACCCAGGGGCCAGCAAACAAACCTCCATTACAACAGGAGATGACAGGAAAGACACTACATCACAAGCTGAGGGAATGGAACTCCCACAATGTGGCAGGAAACAGAGGACCTCCAGCGGAGGGCTCAAATGGCTGTACACAAATGCCAGGGGCATGGGGAACAAACAGGAGGAACTAGCCCTCCGGCTTTCCAGAAGGGACTGCAATATCATAGGGGTAACAGAGACCTGGTGGGACTCTACCCATGATTGGACCATAGCTATAGAAGGTTACATCCTGCATGGGAGGGATTACACATAGGGAAAAAGGGTGGAGGTGTAGCTCTATATGTAAAAGAGCAGTAAGTATACTTTCTTGGAAGCTGAAATTGGTACTAAGGAAGGGTGACTTAATACCCTCCGGGTCCAGATATGGGGGTATGTGGCGAAAGGGACCTAACTGGAGGAATACATTAGAGAACTCTGAATCAAGGTGAGGAGCTAGATCTGGAATTCTCCAGAGTACTGGAAGAGGCTGCGAGAGCACAGGAAATGGTCATTATGGACAACTTTAACTACCCAGACCTCTCCTGGGAAGAACACTCAAGCAGATCTGACTGGTCACATAGATTCCTGATTTGTATTGATGAGCTGTACCTATCTCAGGAAGTATACAGACCGACCAGAGGAAATGTGCTCCTAGATTTAGTTTTGGCCAAGGGGGATGACCTGGTGAGTGATTGGATGACAGAGGGTAACCTTGGTGACAGTGACCATGTCACTGTCACTTTCATTGTCCATCGTAAGGCTGGGAAATCTGTCAGTAAGGGTACATATTCTTGACTTCAAAAAAGTTGACTTTACTAAGCTAAGGACTTTAATGAGTAATGCCCTATGCGACCATGGACTGTAGGGAAAGAGTATGGATGTAGAGTGGTTGTTCCTCAAGGACACTGTCCTCAGTGCACAGAACTTGTCCATATCTGTACACAAAAAAAAAGGTGACATGGGGCCTGGAAGGCCATCTTGGCTCAATAGAGAAGTTTCAGATCTTCTGAAAAAGAAAAGGGAGGGCTTACCAATGATGGAAGCTAGGAATAGGCCCTAAGGAGAACTACATAAGATTGGCCCACACCAGTAGAGGGCAGATTAGAAAAGCAAAGGTGGTGACTGAATTCAGGTTAGCAACTGAAATCAAGGACAATAAGAAGTCCTTCTGTAGGTACGTAGGTAACAGTAAGAAAACTAGTGGAAACGTGGGACCACTGCTCAATGCATCTGGACATCTGATCACTGACACTAAGGACAAAACTGAACTCCTGAATGAGTACTTTGCATCTGTATTCCACCAGTCTAAGAGTGATAGCCTGCTGAATGCAAATATGATACCAAATAGTCACTGTAGGGATGATCACCTATCAACAATCATTGTAGAGCTGGTAAAAGAACAGCTAGTGAGGCTGGATATCTATAAGTCAGCAGGACTGGATGAACTTCGAGCATCAAGGACAATAAAAAGTCCTTTTTCAGATATGTGGGGAGCCAGAGGAAAAGCAAGGGCAACACTGGACCCCTGCTGAATTAGATGGGGCAACTGACAACTGACGCCCAGGAAAAAGCCAACCTATTAAATGAGTACTTTGCGTCAGTCTTTCATCAGTCCCATGGGATGCCCATGCCCACTACAAGACAAGGGAGTCCAGGTGAGGGAGATCCCCTGCCCTCCATCAATGCTGACCTTGTGAAGGAACACCTTGAGAAGCTGGATACTTTAAAATCAGCCAGCCCTGACAATCTACACCCCAGGGTACTCAAGGAGCTGGCGAGCATCGTAGCCCAGCCCCTGGTACAGATCTTTGAAAACTCCTGGCTCTCTGGTGTAGTGCCCGAAGACTGGAAGAAGGCCAATGTAGTGCCTATCTTCAAGAAAGGGAGGAAAGTGGATC